CACCTTCATCATAAATGATGAAGTTTGATTCAGGAATCCCAGTAACACTGCAGTTGGTGCTAAGAGGAGGGGGAGATGTCTGTTTTGATGGACAGGCTTGTAGGGAGAAGTCATGGTGTCTGGCTTCCTGCCTGCAGAATTAGTGATAAAGGGGCACTGGAAGAATGATGTATGCCTACAGTCTCAGCATCACATGGTTTGACCAAGATATTGTGAGTAAAATGTTCTCTTGAAATGATGTTTAGGCAGGAGAATTTGGTGAGGTTTTTTTTCTCCTCTCAAGTTACTTATTACTTATTTTTGTTTAAATTTTTTTTTTCAAATGAGCACTTAAAGGAGTGGAAGACTGGTGTTAAAATGAACACAGGCTTTCCTTTATTAAATGGGATCCTCTAATTTGGGTTTTACAAAACCAAAGTTCATATAATTTTTTGGAATAGGTGTGGGTTTTTGTGTGTTTAAATATGGGAATTATGTATACTGAATGTATACTTCATAGAAAATGTGTCAGAAACACCTTTTTGTTTATTTTGAAATAGGGTAACTTACAGTGTAGGTTAAGTAACATTATAATACAGGATTTCCTAAGCTCAACTTTACCTTCTGATTTCTTAATCAACTAAAAAACTATTTTGAGCAGTTTACAGATTTGTTTTAACATGCTGTTACTTAGCTTTGGTATTATCAATTATAAATTAAACTCAATAGAGTAACAGGTATTTAGCCAGTGAAACAACTCCCTTATTCTCCACAATACACATAGGTTGAATATATGATAGAATGCAAAGTTGAGTTGCAGAATTCTCCTTCTGACACATGTATTATACTTGCGGTAATATAAACCAGTATGTGAGCCTGAGCTGAATTCCTTGACAAGGAGTAGCTTCAACATTTCTTGAAATGTGCGGCTTTTAACTTTTCTGGAAATTCTGGTTTACTTTGTATTGGGGACATATGGAAGGAATTTAGAAATCATTAGTCTTTTTTAATCTGAATATAAAAATTCTTTCTTAACTTCCTTTGTTACCAGAAAATAAAATTCTTAACTTTTTCTGCAGGGAAGTAATTAGAATGTTATGTCTTTGTTCTTATAGTGAATTTATTTCTAGATGTTACCATAAGATGACATACTAATATATGAGGAAAGTAGATTACTTTACAGTATTATCTGTTGACTAAAATCCTCTGATAAGACTATGCTTTTCAGACACTTTTTGCTCTAGTAATAGAAAGATGTCTCCAATTTATCTGTGATTATAACATTGAAAACACACATAAAGATGTCTTCCAACATGTGTTTCCAAGATTCTTTCTAGCTATTTAGTTTTTTATTTCTTATTGCAATTATGAGCCATATTCTAGCCTTATGAAAACAGTCCTGGCATTTTAAGTAGCTGCAAACCAGTTAATTATCAGATAGGAGACAAGTAGTGACAATACTATTTTGTTAGGAAACCACTGGTAATTCTTCTTTGCCTCTCAGAGTGAACCAGACTTCCCTGGAGAGTTCTCCGATCTACTTCCCTGAGCAGTTGGAGTGACAGCCTAGTAGAAACCTGCTGCCCTGGAGAGAATCGGGGGCTCTGTTCTTTTCCTGATATGTATCTGGTAGTGTTCGCCTTCGGAGACTCAACAGTGACTTGAGTGTTTACATTGTTAATGCTCTGAGCACAGGTAATGGCAGATTAAAACATGACTGGCGTGATCAACAGAAACAAAAGGTTTATTGATAAGGCAATAAATTCATGACAGAAGACCAGGAGGCAGTTGTTGAGGCTATAGGGGCTAGGGTTTTTGGGACAAAGAAAAGGAAAGTGGGAAGGTAATGCTCTCCTTTTTTAAAGCAGTGCTTGATGATAAGGAAAAATCCCTTAGATGCTTTCTGGTCTCATGGCTGTCATCAATCAGAAATCTGTTAAGATGAGTAATAAATATACTGTCCTTATGGTTCAGAGTATTCTGCATTTACGTGGAAAAGTGAAAGTCGCTGAGGCTTTCTGTATTTTTATATTGATAATATGTTGAGCAGTGGAAAAATAACTTGAGAAAGAATGAAGGAATGGAGCCAAAGCAAAAATAACACCCAGTTGTGGATGTGACTGGTGATAGTAGCAAGGTCCGATGCTGTAAAGAGCAATATTGCATAGGAACCTGGAAGGTTAGGTTCATGAAGAATTGATGCTTTTGAACTGTGGTGTTGGAGAAGACCCTTGAGAGTCCCTTGGACTGCAAGGAGATCCAACCAGTCCATCCTAAAGGAGATTAATCCTGGGTGTTCATTGGAAGGACTGATGTTGAAGTTGAAACTCCAATACTTTGGCCACCTTATGAGAAGAGCTGACTCATTTGAAAAGACCCTGATGCTGGGTAAGATTGAGGGCAGGAGGAGAAGGGGACGACAGAGGATGAGATGGTTGGATGGCATCACCGACTTGATGGACATGGGTTTGGATAGACTCTGGGAGTTGGTGATGGACAGGGAGGCCTGGCGTGCTGCGGTTCATGGGGTTGTAATGAGTCGGACACGACTAAGCAACTGAACTGAATATGTTGTGCTTATGTATTAGGGATCTGTATGATTTTCTGCAGAATCAGGCCTTTTGCTTTCTTGTCCTTAAAACTGGAAATAGATTTTAAGTTGTTTCCAGTGCCATTATTTGCTCCATGCCGTTTGTACACCTGCATTGTCAGTTGCTCTCTCACTGGAATGGGAACTCTCTAAAGGGCGTGTTGGAGTCCTTTATCCTTACCGGTTTTCTATAAGACTGAAATTACTTCAAAATAACTAAGATATATGTTCACATTGGTAAAAAAAAAAAAAAAAGAAAGAAAAAGAAACTGTTACAATCTTTTTAAAAGGATATTTTGACAATGTATTTGACAAACTTAAAATATATATCCTTCAATCTAATAATTGTATTTTTTAGAATCAAGATTAGGAAAATAATCATTGACATGTGCAATGATGTATGTATAAGAATGTTCATCACAGAATTTTATGTATCACAACAAAGATATATTATAACAAAATCTTCCCAATCTTCTAGATATACATCATCAGAAGACTGACTTTCTAATTAGGATGTGTCTGTATGTATACCATGTAGTCTTTGAAACTCATGTTGCAGAAAAGATTTTATTGTTTTAGAAAATTTCTACAGATTATAAGTGAAAACAATCTAGTTACAAGGTAATTATGATTTCCCCCCAGTTTTTTATGTGATGAAATACACAGAACAGAAAGATTTCCGTCTTAATCACTTAGGTATACAGTCCATTGATGTTAAATATGTTTATAATGTTGTGCAACCATCACCACCATCCATTTATATAGCTCTGTTTATCTTGTAGAACCAAAACTCTTACCCATTAAGCTTTAGTTTTCCCCAACTCTCTTCCCTTCTAACCCTTGACAGCCACCATTCTTCTTTTTGTCGTTATGATTTTGACTTCTCTAAGTACCTCATATAAGTAGAGTGTTCATCTTTTTGTGACTGACTTATTTCACTTAGCCTAATGTCCTCTAGGTTCATTCATGTTGCTAGCATCTGTCAGGAACACCTTCCTTTTTAAGACTAAACTACATCTTATGTAATATATCACATTTTGCTTATCCATTCGTGTGTCAGTGGACACAGTTTACTTCCATGTTTTAGCTGTTGAGAATAATACACCTGTGGGTTTATAATGCTTCTTTGTGAACTATTTTGCTCATGAAATTTTTTTGTTTGTTGAAATGAGACTGGAAAGACATATAGTAAAATGTTAGTAGTAGTGAGGTGTAAGTAGTGAGGTGATGGCAATTTTATTTATTTCAGTTAATTCGTGCTATTCAGTTTTTCTTCAGGGAATGTATAATGCTTTTGAATGAAAAAGAAAGTTACAATGAGTGGGATGAGGTCCCCAGCCAGAATGTTCAGGTAGCCGTACAATGAAAAGTGCACAGCATGGTTAGAAAGCATCTTGTTTGTAGGTAACCAAAGTCATAGGTTACAATACATGATACCTTTTAAAGTTAAGAAACAGTAATGATTCTCCCAAGGATGTGTTGTGCCCTTAATCAGAGTGGTGCTCATTCTGTTACTATGGAAGTACATCTGGCTTTTAGTCAGTTTTCTCAGGAAAAAAAGTATGTTCCAGAGACTACTGCAAATAAAATCACCTGGGATGGTTGTAAAAAAAAAAAAAAATACTTTGAATAAAAGTCTCTGGTGTTGAAGTCAGTAAATCAGCATTTGTATAAAAGCTCTCTCAGTCATTCTTATTTTTAGGAATTTTGAAAAATCATGCTATAAGTAGATCTTATTTGTGAGGAACTGGAGTTAAAACAGCATGAATACTATTTAATAATTTGTTCTTTAAAAAGATCATACCATAATTCTTTGAGTAGACATATCCATTCTTTTAAAAATTGATGCCATTTATGAAAAAATTAGTTATGTATTTTTGAAGGTCATCTTTGTTTAAAGTATTGCACATCCATGTATTCTATTTATTTGCCAATATTTGAGGAATTGTGTTCCTTTGTATACATCATAGAATTGCTTTGCTTTTTATGTACAATGAATATAGATTCATTTTTTATCCAAATTTATGATGTAGAGTGCCCCAGAAACCACATGAGAAAAGCCTGGAAACCCATCAACTGGATCTGAAATAAAGACGAACTACCTGCTTATATTTTAAGGGTATTGGTCCATTTACATTTATTTGTATTCTGTGCTTTTATCCTGTGTCAAACCTATTCCTTCCAAAGAGGAAGAAATGCATACTCTTGAAGTGAGTGCCTAAATGAACAGTGATTCATGTTACTCAAGCGTATTTACTCAAATTTTGAGAGTATATATTTATTTCTTATCAATAAGCAGATTAAAGGAACCTCACATCGCTCACATCTTACACATGGAGGTTAGCAAGCACTTTGAGGAAAGACTTGCTTCCTAATTTTTAAGTAAAAATAATCTTGTATTATGTCTCTCTTTGCTTCTGTTTAATTTCAGATTTTGTTGACGGACCTATACACCACAAAGCCTTACTTATATCTGTGACTGTGTGTAGTTTGCTCTTGGTCCTCGTCATTTTATTCTGTTACTTCAGGTAAGTTTCCAACATGTGGATGTAGAATTTTGAGTTTATAAAATCATCCTCATACTGTTCTACCAGTTGATGTTTTTCATCACAGCTTTCCTGGACCTGGTTAGATATTAGATGTCACTGACAATATCAGTTACTATTGATAATCATTTGTCCTAATGAAGTTATTAATAGATAGCTATCTTGTTTCTGCTTCAAATATCAAAACTACCCAGAAAAATTTCATCTCTAGGAAACTTATGGTGGCTAGGAAGTTCAGCAACTAGTTGCTACTAACCTTTGATTCAAAGTGAGAAATGACCATGTTGACCTAGAATCACTTTAGTAATTCCTTATTTTGTAATCTAGCAGTATTCCCTTAGTATTGAATGATTATAAAAGATAACTTATAGATTAATTATTAAGGTAGACTATGTTCAGTTAGTAGTTTCGATCCATGGGTCAGGAAGATCCCCTGGAGAAGGAAATGGCAACCTATAACCAATATTCTTGTCTGGAGAATCCCATGGACAGAGGAGACTGGCGGGCTACAGTCCGTGAGGTTGCAAAGAGTCAGACATGACTTAGCAAGTAAACAACAACACTACAAATTGTTTTCAATCACCTAAGAACTCATTTTCTAGTTTGTGAAATATCAGGGACCTTTAAATTCTTATCATTGCCTTTTTGTAATACTTATTTAGGTTACTATTCTACAAATAAGAGTTGACTCAAATATCATCAATTCTAACTGAGGACATTATTGACAAAAGCTTTTAAAGTTTCAGTTTATCTATACTATTGCTTTATACATTGCCTTTTATGAGAAAGTTAGTGTCTTTTGTAAACAAAAAATCTTCATCTTTAGCTAATTAGGGACCTTGTAAGAAAAGATTTTAGGGTATGGATATTGGAACTATTCTGGAGAAGGAAATGGCAACCCACTCCAGTATGTTTGCCTGGGGAATCCCTTGAACAGAAGAGCTTGGTGGGCTATAGTCCATGGAGTGGCAAAGAGTCAGACACGACTGACCAGCTACTACTACTACTATTGGAACTATATAAAAATGTTAATGGAATATAGGCCACTTGGATATATGCAATCGAAAGAAACAGAGAAGGAAGATTAAAGATGGTTGTGACTGAGTGAAAATATGAAGTTTAGTTTAAAAAATAGGTTATGGCTAATTCATTTCAATGTATGACAAAAACCACTGCAATGATGTAAAGTAATTAGCCTCCAACTAATAAAAATAAATGGAAAAATAAAAGAATACAGACCCACAAAAAAAAATAGGTTAGAAGACTAATTATAACTTTGTGTTTTGGAAATCATAACTAAGGATAATATATACTGAGAATCTAATCTTGTATTTATGTGCAAAGATGAAACCTGCCGTGGTTCTGCATGTTCTATCCTTGTCATTGCAATCCAGTGTCTAACATTTTCTTCCTTTGTGCATCTTCAGGTATAAAAGACAAGAAGCTAGACCTCGGTACAGCATTGGGTTAGAACAGGATGAAACTTACATTCCTCCGGGAGAATCCCTGAGAGACTTAATTGAGCAGTCGCAGAGCTCGGGGAGCGGATCAGGCCTCCCTCTGCTGGTATGAGAGGAGCATACCTTGAACGTAAAGGATATGTCGGTAACTGCGGGGTGTCATTTTACCGAAACAGATAGGGCCGTGGACAGGGGAAAGCGCTCTGCAGTCAGACATCAGATCTCAGATGCAGGGTTTCCAGATAACATTTTGACATATTGGGGGTGAGGTCATTGTTCTTTAATGTAAGTGTATGGTTACAATCCAGACCTCTGCGTTCTGATAAAGAGCAGATTAGAAAACTTTCGACATGGGACCATCTTCCCTCTGTTTTCAGGAAGGATAACGTTACAGCACTTTGGCCTGGCTTTTGAAGGCAAAAGTATTACAACCAACTGGGATCTGAGTACTTCTAAAAGGGATGAAGGCTGCCGCTCAGCTGGAGGGTTTATGTTTCAGGGTGAAGCCCTGGCTTTTCCATTCAGAAGAGTTTTAATTTTCTGATGGTCAGCGCTGCCAACTTGGAAGAAAATATATAGTGAATCCAAGGCACTTGCTTTAATGAGAAAAGCATTTGGTTACTTTATGGACCATGTGAAAAGATTGTTGGGACTTGAAATGGAAATAACAGTGAGAAATATTTTCCTTTATAAAGTTTATAAATTCTGAGATTGATTTTCCTAATCTTTATTGTCTGGTTCTGACTTTGGATGTCTTGTTTACTTGATTCTTTTGGTGACCTTTTATTTAGTACTAAAACTAACTTAAAAATCTCAAGCCAAGAATTTATTTTATAACTCTTTTCCTTAGCATACAAAAAGCTGTATACATTTAACGCATATAACTTGAAGAGTTTGGAAATAAGTAGGTGTCTCAGTCGGTGAAGAATCTGCCTGCAATTCAGCGGACCTGGTTTTGATCCCTGGGTTGGGAAGCTACCCCGGAGAAGAAAATGACAACCCACTCGAGTATTCTTGCCTGGGAAATCTCATGGACAGAGGAGCCTGGCAGGCTACAGTTCACGGGGTCACAGAGAGTTGGATACCACTTAATGGCTAAACCACCATACACCCCTGAAGCCATCATCACAGTCTGGGCCATAAACATATCCATCACCTCCAAAAGTTGCCTCCTGCTCCATTCATTATTATCATTTTATGAAAAGAGCCCAGTGTAAGATCTAACCTCTTTGCAAATTTTTTAAGATTATGATACACGTGTATTAAATAGAGGTGTTAGCTAATGCTACTGTGATAATCATTTCTCATTATTTAAATATATCAAATCAACATGCTGTATACCTTAAACTTACAAAATGTTATATGCTAAGTGTATCTAAGTAAAAATAAAGTGAGTGTCAACTTTTTGCTTCAAATTAGGGAAAAAAGAATGCAATATTCCCGTTATTAATTGTAGGCACTGTGTTGTGTGGTACATCTCTGGGACTTATTCATCTTGCATAACTGAAACTCTCTGTTCAGGTCAGCCACTCAGTCGTGTCCGATTCTTTGTGACCCCATGGACTGTAGCACGCCAGGCCTCCCTGTCCTTCACCAACTCCCATAGTTTACTCAAACTCATGTCCATTGAGTTGGTGATGCCAACCAACTACCTTATCCTCTGTTGTCCCCTTCTCCTCCTGCCTTCAATCTTTCCCAGCATCAGGGTCTTTTCCAAGGAGTCAGTTCTTCACATCAGGTGGCCAAACTCTACTCTTTAACTAATGCCTCCCCTGGAGGTAATACACCAGACAGAAAACCACTTGTGAAGTAGTCATTATGACAAAACTGATGCTACTTAGGATATAAATCTTTTTTTAATGTAAAGTTCTTATCAAATTGCTTGACTTTTCATTCTTAGAATTTAACTGATATATAGCAAATACCATTCTTACATTTAAAAATATTTTATCACACTTCTTTTTCAAGTACAGATATTAAAATTCCCTTTAGATAGTTACACTCTTAGAACTGGAAACTACTGTCTTTCTCCTCCTAGCCCATCTTTCTCATTCCTGTGGAGTTCTGTCTCAAATCTTTGACCTTGCTGCTCTCTCACTTTCTTGCATAACACACTCTAATATCCAGTCATGGTTATGGGTCTTCTTTCTTAGCTTGATAAGCATAGTATTCCTCTCCTTCCACCTCTTCCCCACTAGATTCTTGAGCTCTTGAATCAGCCTTGACTAATTGTTTTGAAAATACAGCATGTTTTAAAAATCCATGTCTTTGCAAATATAATGTCTTTCTGGAGAGTTCCTCAGATTATGCCCCATGTTTTATCTCTGTGACAGATTAGTCTAGACTGAGCCAGTCTGTTTAACTTATGTCATAACAGAAGTTTGCATAATCAATGCAGCAGCCAATATAGCTGTTTAAAATAACATTGAAATTGGTTTTAATGTACATGTGTCTTTAGGTGGACTCTCATCTCTTTTGAGGTGGAAACTACATTTTGTCACTTAGCATCCTGGGGTGATTAAAGAGGCTGCTCAATTATTTGTTTTTTTAAAAGAGAAAATTTGCAACTCCCAACTTTTGGTATCTGTGAAAATACTATCTTATGTCTATAATCTGGGTACCAAACAGTGTTTGGCTATTAACCATAATGATTAAGAGCAGCCAGGTTGCCAGAGGTCCAGCCCTGGCCAGATTCTGGCCTTTAAAGGATGATCTCATTTAATCCTTGAAGCCACTGTGAGGTGGTGTAGAAATGTATCCTGTATCACACATCAGGAGCCCAAGCCCATTGGGTCAACCAGCTGGTCCGTGGAGAAGCCAGGAGTAAAACCCGTGTGATCTACCTCTAGAATCTGTGCTCCCAACGCTTGTGAACCAAATGTTAAGTAAAATTAAGACCTGCATTTGATAACAACAGGATGGGAAGAAGGATCCTATCACTCACTTGAGCAAAGGGAAAGCCTCAGTATTACAGAATTAAGATCCTGCTTTAAGATTTGTTTTTTAAGATAAACAATACAGAAATGTTCAGTAGTGTCTCTTTGTATTATATGAGTGAATGTCTCACCTTAATTCCACTTTGTCATTTATTTCATTAACAAAGAGGGCAAGTTCATGTCTTGTGTATAAATACATACTTGGGACTAATATTTACTAAGTGGCTTTGAATATAAATCCTCTAAGGGAGGAATATCATAGAGTGGTTGTAAGAATTTTCCCTGCTCTCTTTCTCTCTCTATATATAGCATATGCTATATATATATATATATATATACACACACATATATATATATATAAATATGCCTGGCATACTGAATACCTGCGTACTATGCCTTCAATCAATAGTAACATTATTTATTTATACCCTATTTATCTGACCTTGTAAAGGAACAAAAGGTGAAGTAAACTAACTGAACACTAAACCTCTCAGCTGAGGAATCTTTTGTGAAAAACCTGTCCAGTATGCAACATTAACATGGTCTTATTAAGCAGATATGTTAAACGGTGTATGTGTGTGTAGAAGTGAGTATTTTGTTAATTCAGGGACATATAGAGAGCACAGAGCATTACTTACAGCTCCATGGTTTCTAGGGTCCACATGGGCTTAATTTACCATTGGACACTATCAGATAACTGACCACTAGATAGAAAGACATTTCTAAAATAGTGATAACCCTTATAATCCTTACACAGCGAGTTGTCCCCACTTTACATGAAATAATTCTTCTCTGTTTTGAGTCACAATTATAATGATTGTATTGAGTTTATATAATCTAACTTTCAAAACTGCTATCTAAAGATGTCATATAGAAGGAAAGTTTGGGTACCCAAAGACCTGAAACATTAACTAGATCAAATAAAAATGCAAATAAATGACATAGTTAAAACATTTTTCAAAATATATTTTTGGACTACAAAAAATATATTTTGTAGATGTTATAATAAATCTCAAAATAGAAGTATATTTTAAATTTCTGAATATAGTGAGACTTTTTATTTTGAGATAAGTTACTTCTGTTCTTGTGAGCATTGCCAATTTCATCTGTACTCTTATCAAATTCATTATATATGTCATCATTAGAAAAAAAATGGATTTAAAACTGTTTCTATTAGGAAATGTTCTGTGGATTTATATAAGCAATGCTTTGTAACAACAGTAAATTAATAATACTTCTTTAATCATTGTAGGAAGTCTCCTCTCAGGTCAGTAGTTTAACTACTTATGGGTCTGGCTCTCAGCTGCGCAGTACTCTTGATGCTTCTGCTCCCTCACTGGGGAAGCGAAATGGACTGACTGTCTCCTACTGGGCCTTTCCGACTCCTAAAGGGAGGAAGGCTGGTCTACATGTACGCTTGATGCCTCATTTCCTTCAGGCTGAGTGGCTTAACGGCATGTCAGCAATGCTTTTATTCTTTAATTCTTCTTTGAGAGGAAAAGAAAAAGACTTTATCTTGTCCCCAAAAGCTTTCAGTCTGATATTAGTGCTGTTAATGATTCTGGCAGTGGATAGCATTACATTTTGAATTGATGAAATCATTCATTAGGCAAAAACAGAACCCATCCTAGTTGGTAGACATCCGTGGTAGTCAGAATGCTAGCCCCCACAATGTCCTCAACCCTAGAATGTGTTATTTTACAAGGCAAGGGGGAATTAAAGTTGCTCATTAGCTGGGCTTCCCTGGTGGCTCAGATGCTAAAGTTGCTCATCAGCTGACCTTGAGATGAGTTTATTCTGGAATATCTAGGTGAGCTCACTATAGTTGTTGTTGTTCAGTCACTAAGTTGCATCCAACTCTTTGTGACGCCGTGAACTACAGCACACCAGGCTTCCCTGTCCTCCCCTATCTCCCGGAGTTTGCTCAGGTAAATTACAGTAGCTCATATATACAGTTATCTCAGTATAGTTACGTGACCCTTAAAAGTATAAATGCAGAAAGAAACACTTTGAATTTACTTGATGCAAAGCCTGTCTCTGGGAAGAGTACATCCCAACTTTCTAAGCAGATCTCATGAGAGTTCTATGTTTGATTCTTTATGTCTCCCAAATTATGTAAATAGTCACCAACACTTAGCCCCTTTAGTCATGGCATTTTCAAAAAGAAGATCATGTGTAAAGAGACATCTAACCCCTATGCCGCTTGAACCCTCTTGTTTTCCTTCTGCCTGTCTCCGCTGCACTCCGTAATTCTTCAGAGCTCTCTCATAGTTTTGCTTTCTCCCCATTTCTAATGGGCTGTTCTCCCTTTCCATTTTACATTTTTGGTTATGACACCTCTTCCTCCTCAAAGCCTAATTTTCAGTGACTTCTTATTGCTTGCTTATGTTTCATTCTGTCTCCTATCCTCCACGTTCTTCACACATCTCATGCCGTGTGGCATTCTCTGAAGATTCCCGCATCTGTCATCTGAAGGGGTTAAATCTACTTGGATTCTTTCTCTCGCCTCATGTGCAGTGGCTGTTTCCTTTTGTTTTAAGGCATTTACCCTGTGAGAGCCTCTCTCTCTCTCCTTTCCCTCCCTCTGTTTTCTTTCTTCTCTTCCTTCTCTCCCTCCCCTCCCCAAGGTGGGGATTTCCTTTATTCCCTTGTGTGTCGAATAAGCATTACAGTTTGTTGTTTCTTATATTTTATCCATGACCAAGGTGTAGGGTGGCAGGAGCTCCTTCAGAGGGTCTAGTATCCTACCAGTAGTGGAGTGAAGCATATTCTGCAATAATTTCCTCAAGAGAGGATTTGTATTTGTTTTTGCCAGGAGCCATGGTGGTGGTGTGCCACCAAACTAGGGCAAATTTGGTCCCATTCAGTGGTTCAGGCTTAGTGCTAAAGCCCAGGGTTCAATGTCTCTCATTTTAAAGGGTCAGCGTTCATTGTCTCGATCTCAAGGCTGGTGTTATTCTTTGCCCAGATAGCGGCCTGGCATTTGTATTTGCTGAATGCTTATCTAGCCTTGCTCTGTTCTTAACTCTTCCCTTCCTCTTTTCCTCTGTCTGCCTACACCTCCCTGCTTAGAGATTTCATCTGCAAGTATTTCTGTGTGTGCCCAATAGTGCATTACCTTTCTGTTTTGTTGTATGTTATTGAAGCATATAGTGGCATGATTCCCTTTAGAGTATCTAGTGTCCCACACTAGTAGTAGAAGTGAAAAGTACTCTTTTCTGCCAGTTACTGTGAACCCTTCAAGTGTTTTTCTCTGTGAAAATAATAATCAGTTAAATGAAATAATAATTGGAAGCAATACTTCAAGCACTCAAAACCAAGTCTCAAATATACATTTAAAAGAGGACAACATGAATTAATAAGTAAAGTTAATAAGTAAATAAAAATAACTTGTCTCACCAGGGTCCTCTGTCCATAGGATTCTCCAGGCAAGAATACTGGAGTGGATTGCCATTTCCTTCTCCAGGGGATCTTCCCAACCCAGGGATGGAACCCAAGTCTCTTGTGTCTGCTGCACTAGCAGGCAGATTCTTTACCACTAGTGCCACCTGTGAAGCCCATATAAAGAAAAACTACTGGCTAGATATATTTCATATGCAATTGTTTTCTTCTCTGAAGGAAAAAAGAAAACATTAAACAAATCTGCAGTGCTGTGAATACACTAACAGTGTGTTGGGGGATTTCACAGGTCCAGAGGACGATAGCAAAGCAAATTCAGATGGTGAAACAGATCGGAAAAGGTCGCTATGGGGAAGTTTGGATGGGAAAGTGGCGTGGCGAAAAGGTAGCTGTGAAAGTGTTCTTCACGACAGAGGAGGCCAGCTGGTTCCGAGAGACAGAAATATATCAGACGGTGTTGATGAGGCATGAAAACATCTTGGGTGAGTCTAAGCCTGTATGAGCGATGTTCAGGGTTTCCTAGCTTTCCTCTCTTTTCCTGTTAACATCTGCATATTAACTCATCGGTCTAGACCTGCTATGAAATATACGGACATTTTCTTTTTGGCGTGAGCCCAAGAATGTCATATGCTTCTAATGGGAGACCTCACAGGAGGCATGACTAAGACACTTCTGTGACTGGATGGTGGGCTGGAAATGAAACATGTTCACATAATTTTTTTTTTCTTCAGGGACAGGAAATGCAAATGCAATACCAAAATTTCTCAGATTTCTTAGGGATTTGAAGGAGCACATTTTTGGCTAAGTACTGTGAAGTTATGGGAATTTTATCTGCAGGGTTTATTTATATCCAGAGTTTATATTGAAAATTGATTTCCTTTTTATTTTCTCAAGTTAGGAATGATCTAGCTGGATTATTCAAGTAGAAGGAGTGTCAGCTAATCATGGAGTGTGTGCCTGTTTTGTAAACAGTGTCTTATGTGTAATTATAATACCATGAACTATTTACTGTTAACTTAGAAATAATTTAAATATCAGCTACTGATTGGAAAGGTATCCTGTCTTCAGATACAAACTCTTAGTCTTTCTCCACCCCTGCTGTTTTGGTTATCTCTGATGGGCTTCCCAGGTGGCTCAGTGGTAAAGAATCTGCCTGCCAAGCAGGAGACATGGGTTCAATCCCTGGGTCGGGAAGATTCCCTGGAGAAGGAAATGGCAACCCACTCCAGTATTCTTGCCTGGGAAATCCCATGGACAGAGGAGCCTGGTGGGCTACCATCCATGGGGTCACAAAGAGTCAGACACGACTTAGCAACTAAACTACAACAGTGATGGGTATTAGTAATTTAATGTTATCATAAGCACAATCAGAAAACTCAATGAAATGCCAAATAAAAGACACCTATGACAAAGGACGATAGTTGAAAAAATGAATTATCCTGGTAGTATTTAGAAAACACATAGCTTTCAACCCTTTTTGTCTTCTTTCCTTTTAGGCTTCATTGCTGCAGATATCAAAGGGACGGGGTCCTGGACACAATTATACCTAATCACAGATTATCATGAGAACGGTTCCCTCTATGATTACCTGAAGTCCACCACCCTAGACACTAAGTCGATGTTGAAGCTAGCCTATTCCTCAGTCAGTGGCCTGTGTCACTTACATACTGAAATCTTTAGTACTCAAGGCAAACCAGCAATTGCCCATCGAGATCTGAAAAGTAAGAACATCCTGGTGAAGAAAAATGGAACTTGCTGTATAGCTGACCTGGGCTTGGCTGTTAAGTTTATTAGGTTAGTATCAAGGTGAACAAATATACTTTTCATGGTTCTTTTCTATCACTTTTTATAGATGATGTATTTTGTCGCTCAGGGCTTCTAGGATATTGAGTGGAGGAGGAGGAATTTTGCTAACTTTGACTTTTTTCTGGAGGGGAAAAAGAAGAAACGTCTTTGCAACAAATAAACAGTGTTTGGGTCAGTTCTATTGTTTCTAAGCTTATCAGTGACCTGACTTCAAGACACTGTTCACATAGGTTTGAGCTGTCATGAAGCTGTTAAGAAAAGTTGCTAATGCCTGGGATTGTGTGCTCAGAATTCTGCATAACATTTGTAGGTAGGAAGAGGTTTCAGGAAAGAGCTACGATTATGTAGTGATAAAGGCATTTTTTATGTGTTATAAGAAAGATAACTTGCTTGCCAAGTATTCCATGAGAAATGTTAGGAATGAATAAGCGACACAGTGCCAGTACTCAGCACTGTAGCTTCTGCAGGACGGGCAAGAGGAATGCTCCAGAGCTGGGGTTCTGTTTTGCTTACCTTTGTTGTATTCATAGCAGCTCCTTTACCTTGTAGGATTTAATTAGAAAAATGATTCTTCTGCTTTGAAAACAAAACGAAATGAGTTTGCAAACTAGAAGAAAAGAAGGATCATCTTATACCTACTTTTTAAAAAATTCAATTTAGGCTCAGCTTTTATTAAATTATTGGACCTTCTTATGGATTTTTTTTTTTCCAAAGAGACTCTGTAGAATATGGAGAAGGACACAAAGGAAAAGCCAAGGCAAAGAATAAAACTGACGAGAAAGGACTAAGGCATTGGTCTTTTCACCCAGAAGTAAGATGGAGAGGTGATAAAATCATAAATCCTAAACATATAAAGGTCTTCACCAGTTAGAGGCTAGCAAATTGAAGTTCTTGGTCTTTAAAAACAAAGCAGGAGGAAATGCTTCGGACTGTAGATTCAAGTTAGAAATATGAACTGCCAGCTAATAAAGATGATTTGAATCTTCTCTTACTTCTGAATTCTTTTTTCTGACCCACACCCCTTTTTAAGTCTCCTCTACCTCAGGGAATTTCCCATGATGCTTCTCAAATTGCGAGCTTTTCTCCTTCCACCCCTGTGAAATTTCTCAAGAGTTCTAAAGAGTAATTTGCTTTCACAATCCAGTAATTCATGATATTTTGCAATTTGGCTTCTGCTCCGTCTCTTCTGAAGCTCCTTTCCTGAAGGACAACACGGATTTTGTCACCAGAAGCCTTTTTTCCTGTCAGCCCACCTCCCCTGTGCCCACACCTCTCTTCCTCCTGTGTTCCTAATGTGTTTATTCCAGGTTCTCCTCCTTTCTCTCTATGGGTTCTGCTCTCTTTTTCTTAAATCTTTTTCCACTCCTCAGTTTCATGGTGCACGTGCTTTCTCTCTCCAGTTCCCAGTTTTGGTGGATCCATTCTAAAATGTGAGGCATGCTTCCTTTGTTCCCTAAGTTTGTGATTGCTCAGTTGAATGAATTCTGTCTCCATGATATTCCCACTGGAACTGGGCCAATTGGGGCCCTCCTACCATCTTTCTAGATTCTGGAGTAAATCATTTTGTAGTTATTTCCTCTTTCCAATTTGTCTTTTACATACTGCTGCCAGATTTACTTTCTTGAAGCATAATTTTGGGCATCATAATTTCATTATTTGCTCTGGATTTGTGTTAAAATGTGATTTCTCTCAAACCTTTGAGTGTTTTTAATATGCTTTTATCTTTACCTGAATACCCAATATCCTCTTCTTTATTTTAGTAGCTACTACTTTGTAATTTTATCCTTTAGAACCCCTATTATTATTCCCTTGCAAGCCTGACTTTCATTGAGTTTCTGTTGTATGGTCATCAGTGACTGCTTTTCTGTCATTGTCACTGGAGACGAAGGTAGATACCATGTTTTTCTTAAATTTACATCTCTAGTCTTCCCTTGGTGCTCATTATATAGGGGTTGCTTGACAATTTTGTATAAAGCTTAAATGAATGATTCCATATGGACTATGGGATGAAGGGAAAAAGCATTTTTTTTTCCTCTTAGCTCCAAAGATTTTGCAAAAGCTGGATTAAATTCACCTTTCTATTTTTATGTCCAATTTATATGGACATAAAACTCTCCAATTTATATGCTTTATTTTGCAAGACTGAACTTATTTGTGTTTTTTCCACGTATACTCCATGTTTCCTACTGCTTTGTTTTTGACTAGACAACATATAGCTTGGAATGCCCTTGTGTCTCCATGTTACTTAATCCAGTCTCAGAGTTACCTCTAAGTCACTTTACTTATCCCCTAGGTAGAAAGGATGACATCATCTATTCTACTCCTGTGATAATTTTCTGACCCTTGTCTGCCTGACCCTGTAATTATTTTAGCGCATGCCTCGTCTTACCCTCCTTTTCATTGGGCATCTTGAGAGTCCATGCCATTACGTAATGTGTTTCTCATTTGACATGACATAGTGAGTTACCCATTAGAGATATTATTTTGAATCAGTACATGTTGGCAGTATCAAAGTAATTAAGAACTCATCTTCTTAATAGACCTTAAAAAAACCAAGAAAATGAGTATCTGTTATGTTTCTGAAACGTAGTTCTCCTTAATGTTAATGGGAATGAACTAAATGAACTCTCAAATTTCATGCAAACCCAGATATAAGAAGTGGAAGGAAATACATTAAGGGATAATCCAGAGATTTATTTGGCATATATTGGCTGTTTAATGGAGAGAGGAAGGATATGAGGATACTGGCTCAGATGAACAACTGCCATAGCTATTGGATGCAAAGACCTCATGTGGCTGACTAGCACCTATAGGATCATTTGCTATCCTGGGCCTCAGTTTCCTTTATATTAAATGGATGTTGAATTTGATCATTGGAAGTCGTTTTCATGTTTTTATTTCATATGTTTCAGAGGAACTTTGGTCTTCTCAATTTTTGAGCCTCACTTTTAAACCTTGCTGTACACAGTTCTTTGGTTTTCACTCTTCCTGACTTTCCTGTTGCGGGGGAGTGTGGAGCATACGTGCACAGATATTTACAGCATTGTACTACAGGTGGGGTCAAAGCTAACCCAGTGTTGAGTTCTCAAACCTCATACGTGAACTTCCTGTGAGAGCTTAATCTTTCCTGTGGTCTCTGTGTGCTAAGTATTCTCTCAGGCTTTTGAAACATTTTGCGGAGGTTTCCAGTGACATTTGGAGAAGGCAATGGCAACCCACTCCGGTGTTCTTGCCTGGAGAACCCCAGGGACGGGGGAGCCTGGTGGGCGCTGTCCACGAGGTTACACAGAGTTGGACACGACTGACGCGACTTAGCAGCAGCAGCCAGTGACGTTCACAGAGGGTGGACAATGCGTTAGAGGTTTCCTGCTCCTTTAACTTCTTTATGCTGTGTTTTTTCTCCGTGCACACTCTTGAAAGTGATGTAAGTGCTGATGCCTCTCATGCCGAAGGGAGATGGAATCCGGGTGATGCCACAAGAGACACTCCCATTAACCTGAATCTCTCGGGATAAGAAAACAATGACACATGGAATCTCATGAAGGAACTTACAGAGCTTTTCACCCTGCCCTCTGGAGGACCACACAGCCCCTCTGGTACTTCAGGGACAGAATGATATGTTTTCTTAGCGGGGGAGTAAGTCCTGCCTGGCTTATGACCTTTCAGGTATTAAATTTTATATAGAACACCTACAGTGAAGACTGGGCTGTAACACATCTCCAGATTGATGCCTGTCGAATTGTCCAAGTGCAGAGGAGATGGAGAGTCTGGCCCAGAAGGTTCTCAGTGTTCTCTGTCTCTCAGTGACATGTACACACCACTGCTCCTGGTGTGTATACTTAGTGGTTTTTGGAAAAAGGGACATGGTTTCAGCCAGAGTCACAGACCAAACATGAGTGGCAGCACGCCCAGTCAGGGTTTCTGCAGTCTCACCACCTTCTGTTGAAGTTTCCATGTCAAGGTTCTCTTTCTAAGAAACCCTGAGATGTCTCAGGGTTTACTCATAGGAGCAGTGAATTCTGTTGGAAGGTGCTGCAGAAAACCCTCCTTGCTGGTTAACGTCTGCCTGGGCAGAGCTCAGCTCAGCAAGTCAGTTCCATAGCTGTTTGCAAGATACAATAGGAGAGACGAAGGATGTGCATAGCCCCTTCTTCTGAAGGCTCATGAGAACATTTCATGCTTTAGAATGTCATTTTTGTTTAACAAGTGATCAATATTCTCTGGTGTGCTTCATGTGTGGCTAATTTCTTCTTTTTTTAATTAATTAATTTTTTTCATTTATTTTTATTAGTTGGAAGCTAATTACTTTACAATATTGTAGTAGTTTTTGCCATACATTGACATGAATCAGCCATGGATTTACATGTGTTCCCCATCCCGATCCCGCCTCCCAATGTGTGGTTAATTTCTTACAAGAAATGTGTGGTAACATTTCTTGAAAGAATTCCTGCTATGGATTCATAATTAGAAGCTTAATTAATATGAAAAAATTAATATAAGGTTGAGATGGATATTATACTTTTAAATACCCGCCTTATTCCCTGCCACTAAAATAAAATTCTTCTTTCTGCCCTTCTTCCAGTGCATGAGAGCCAAGAGTTTAAGGCACAACCTGCTCCACCGAGTTGAAAGGGTGCTCAGGTTCATTCTCTGGCCTCTCAGGATCCTGGAAGGAGGCTCCACTTCCAGCCTTTCTGCACCCACTGGGGCTCTTTGATTCCTTTCCTCAGTTCTACCAACACCTGCAGTCTACACGCCACTCTAGACACCAGTGTTGGGCCAGGAGAGGGACACTGCAGACGGCTGCCTGGGTACAGGCAGTAAGAGGCTGCCCTGTTTGTAGACAATAAAACCCATTAAAATGATCTCCTTGTGTGGAAGTTCATCTAGAGTGAATGCAGCACCACATTTGGATGGAGCATTTTTAGTTCTGCTTGCTAGAAATGTGTCTTCTCTATAATTTTCTCCAGTTGTTTTTATTTAGGCTGTTCTGAGTCTTAGTTGTGGCACGCAGGATCTTTAGTTGTGGCATGCAGACTTTTAGTTGCACCATCTCGTTCCCTGCTTAGGGATCGAACCCAGGCCCCCTGCATTAGGAGTGGGGAATCTTAGCCTCTGGACCACCGGGGAGGTCCCTGACCAGTGTATTTAGAGGACTTTTGATCTTCACAGCCTTATGTCTCTAACGTTAATCCTTGTCATGTATGTTTTTCTCATTCCTGATCCTTCTGAGTACTTATTTATATTAATATTTTAAGCCTACAGGAAATATTAAAAATAATGAGGCACTTGTAATTATTTAACAAAATTAATTAGCAATAACAAATGTTAACAATTTGCCTTAGTTTTTTTTTTTTAAAGAAATGCACTGTTAAAGAGAGTCCTTTTGCATTCTCCTCCCTATTTTATCCCCCCTTTTTCCTTCCAGAAGTAGCCAGTATCCTGGAGTTGGTATTTATATTTATTATGTATGATTTTATAATTTTCACACACATGTGTATCTGTGGCCATCTCAGCACACAGAATTATTTTGTGGATTTGAAGTTCCTTTCTCCGACCCCACCCCTTGTGCTGCATCCATCTTTCCTTGCCAGCCTCATCTCTCTGCCTTCTCATCCTCCACGGAAAAGGAAAGCAGGGACGGTGAGGCAACCTGCCCTTGGCTGCTGCTTCTCTGTCCTGGGCCCTTTCCTCCAGGTACTCATAGCTGTCCTTAAAGATCCGCATCTTGCCCTAACGCTGGGCCTGGGAACAACCCCTCTGACTGTACTTCCTGTCCCTTCTGCTGCCTTTGCTCTTGCTGCCCCAGTGCTAAATCACTTTAATTTCTCTTTGTGACCTTGAAGATGAATACAAGTTCCATTTTTCTCTCCCCTTACTTGGAAACAGCTAAGATGATGTGACTGAATACCTGGGAGAGAAATGCAGTTTAATTACTTTCAAGTAGGAAAACCCTCCTGAGGGAAAAGGGACAGAGCTGGGTGTCTTGGAGAAACTGGTGCTTTATAATGTTGGATGGAAATTACTTATAATTAGTATGTTTGTTCTTTAACATATAGTGCTGAAGGCTTTTGCCATTGGGTTGATAGCCCTGTACAAAATTAATTTGCTGAACAAAATGCAGTTTATCTTTTTACATGTCTGCAACGTTTCGTTTTATGGACTATGTATAATAGAGATTTTTAAGTTTTTCTTTAAATAATACATAGCAAAGTTTACTATTAAAAAACCTTTTCCTTCTTTCATTTAGAGTGTATTCCCTACTGCCGTGTGCAAGACACACAGTGAAAGGAGACGGAGTGGGGACCTGCTCTTTAGGGACAAGCCTGATGAGTACAGTGTCACTTGGTGCTCAAAGGAGTTTACAGTCTTTGGTTGGAAGATGAATATTCATTGAGATGCCACAAAGGAGAATATTTATTCAGATTCTTCTAGGGGAAGATGTTTATTCCGCTCTCCCAGGGGAGATAGTTATTCCAGCACTGGTGGGGAAGCACTTGGGATGGAGAGCGCCAGGTGGTGGAGGGACAGTAGTGGCTGGTGTACTGTGTAAATAAGGAGCTGGTTTTGGAGCATTTGATGGACAAGCAAAGTCTTCAACTGAGTGTTTCTTCCATGTCTGAGGGAATGAGAGTCTAGAGACTCTCTCTAGTCTGGCCATCACAAATCCTAAATCTGTTATCCTCCAGTACCAGTTAGCTTTCAGTCTTCCCATAGATGTCTCCATGTCACCCATTCTGTTACCCCTTCTTAACCTCCCAAATCCAACTAAAACATTAAGGCCTAAGTGTAAGAATGGAAAAGAATTGTCCAAAATTGTTAGCAACTGAGGTCAGAGTATACCTTTGGCCTAAATGTACTCCTGTGGGGCCCATGTTCTTGGGAATGTCCTTGGTTTTCTTTCCCAGAACATGTTCTGGAAGATTATGTAAGCCATTCACCATCTTCTTTTCATCTGCAACCCCCCACACTCATTTCTCTGCATAGAACCCAGAATCCTCTATCCAACCCCAGCACTGTTTTCCTCTAATGATTCAAAGTTATAAACTATAGCACACACAGGTAACACATTAATGAAAAACCTGTGTGTTCACATGAGAGGTATCAGTGGGTAGAAGAGGAGGAGAGAAATTGCTTTATAATCGAAGGGGGAGCCTTAATCTTTTACATATGTTATTTTCCCACATTATTATTTGGCTCTTCTCTCTGGTGTCCCTTCCTTACGATGTACTATTTAGGTATACAGGTGACATTTTTCTATTGTGTCCTGCTGATAAATGCTGTGATTCATATTTTATACTCTTTCAAGTCTTAGAAAAAAGCCTAGAGCATTGAGACCTACATTTGCTGATGGAAAGGAGTATGAACTCTTTTTTTTTTTTTTCATTTAAAAAAGTTTCCTTTAACTCTTATTTTAGGAAAATGGGCTCCTTCAGAGTTGTTGCTTTTAAAAGATCTCGAGGGGCCTAATGAATATCCTGGCGACAAGTCTGGTGAAATTGCTTTAGCTGAAGAATTTTAGATGGAAGTGAATTTTAAATGGTTGTGAGAATGAAGCTTTATAAGTTTTAGTAAATGTTAACAGTTTTGAGATCTGCAGAGGGACAACTGCCACCCTTTAGATTTTCCCAATGACACTATATGTTTTATGTTTTTGAAGGTAGAGACTGAGGCAGTGAGATCCGCCCCCAAGTTGTTGTTTTTTTTTTTCTTCCCCAAAAGCCACTTTGTTGTCGTTCAGTCGCTCAGTCCTGCCCAGCTCCTCATGGACTGAAGCACGCTAGGATCCCCTCCACCATCTCCCAGAGTTTGCTCAGGCTCGTGTCCATTGAGTCAGTGATGCCATCCAACCACCTCATCCTCTGCCGCCGCCTTCTCCTTTTGCCTTTAATCTGTCCCAGCTTCAGGGTCTTTTCCATTAAGTCCGCCCTTTGCATCAGGTGGCCAGAGCATTGGAGCTTCAGCATCAGTCCTTCCAGTGAATATTCAGGGTTGATTTCCTTTAGGCTTGACTGGTTTGATCTCCTTGCAGTCCAAGGCACTCTCAAGAGTCGTCTTCCATACCACAATTTGAAAGCATCAGTTCTTTTGGCACTTAGCCTTCCTTATGGCCAACCACTCACATCTATCCATGACTACTGGAAAAACCATAGCTTTGACTTTACAGACCTTTGTTGGCAAGATGATGTCTCTGCTTTGTAATATGCTGTCTAGGTGTGTCATAGTTTTTCTTCCAAGGAGCAAGCATCTTTTAATTTCATGGCTGCAGTCACCCTCTGCAGTGATTTTGGAGCCCAAGAAAATAAAATCTGTCACTGCTTCTGTTTTTCCCCTTCTGTTTGCCATGAAATGATAGGACTGGATTCTATGATCGTAGTTTTTTGAATGTTGAGTTTCAAGCCAGCTTTTTCACTATCCTCTCTCACCCCACCAAGAGGCTCTTTAGTTCCTCTTCACTTTCTGCGATTAGAATAGTATCATCTGCATATCTCAGGTTGCTGATATTTCTCCCAGCAATCTTGATTCCAGCTTGTGCTTTGCTAAATTTGCTGTTGTCTGTGATGCAATGTGATGAACGTGGTGTTTGATATATGCAGCTGTTTTCTGCATTGAGGGAAAAGAACAAACATATCAGTGTTTGAGAGTGAGTGGAGTCTGATGAAAAGAGAAAGAAAAACTCTTGGGAATCAAGAGAAAGGAAGGTTTATCACAGATTTTCTAGAGACTTCAGTTTAATCATGAGTTTTTGTTGTTGTTGTTGTTGTTAATCTTCTGTTTTGCAGTTGATTCATCCATCAAAATAGGGGTTCATTGCTCCTTATTTCCACTAGTTTCTTTTGAGCTGTGGGACTTGTTGAACTTGTGATGTGTGCTTAGCATTGTGCTGGCAGTAATGTTACATGTCTCCTCTCATTAATTGTCAGCTTCTCAAGCAATCATAGTTTGACAGCTTTGCAAAGTGGGTTCACAGTTCTGGCTCCAGCTCACTGCACTGAGACCGTGGTTCCCACATGCCAGCCTGCAGAAGACTGTCCTTCCATCAGGAATTTTCTCCCTGTATATGCAGAATAATAATTAATAGATCATGTTGTGGAATAATCTGGAAGCTAAAGATAGTATACTCAGTTATTTTCCTTTTTGTTAAAAAAACACATGTTATTTGGTTTATGAAATAATAATGCTAGAAGAAATCCTTTTTATAGATTTCTGCTTATCAAAGTAAAACCTTTGCAAAGCTTTGTTGACCCTCCTCCTGTCCCTTCTTACTTGTTTGTAGCTGCAAAAGCCTCCCAACACTTGGCTTAAGAAATACTGTCTCAAATAAACCAAATCCACAGGTGCACCTGCCAGTTTTAGGAGCAAAGCTATTAATATATGAAGGGAAGGACGGTAATTTTGACATTGAGTAGGTATTTATTAATAGCAGTAATTTGGAGTTTACATTGATCTTGTGGCAGTGCTATCTTATACATTGCAGCTTCATTCTGACTGTCACCTTCATTGGGTTTTGACCTGTGAATATCGAACTTTTGGCAAGAAATATTTTTTAGGGAAATGTTATGCTTTGAAAAGATATCCTTTCTCACCTTTCACGAAAGCCCCGAGTTAGGAATCCCCTGACCTGTCTGTCATTCATTGGTCCTCTTCAAAGCTGATGGCGCCTTGCCTGACTTTCTCCTCAGTGACACGAATGAAGTTGACATACCACCCAACACTCGAGTCGGCACCAAGCGCTACATGCCTCCAGAAGTGCTGGACGAGAGCTTGAACAGAAATCACTTTCAGTCTTACATCATGGCGGACATGTACAGTTTTGGACTCATCCTTTGGGAGGTCGCTAGGAGATGTGTATCAGGAGGTAAGTGACAGTGACATTGCTGGAGCTGCTGCAGATCCTTTCTTTCTGGTCAGAAATCAGAGTTACTGTATTGTTTACTAAATCAGATTTGACTTGATTTTCCCCTTTATTTCTGTTGATGTGATCACAGTCCTCCCAGAACATGGTATTTAACATCTTAGAACTGAGTCTCTCTTAGGCACATTGTCAACTTCCTCTTGCCTTTTCAGAGCTCACCGCCTTCTACCAGGTATATTGTCTCCTTTCTCGAACTTTTCCTCCAGCAGTTACTCCATCAAGTCAAACCCCCTTTCTACCCCTTCCAGCTTCTGGCCCCGGCCCTAACATCAGTGACCCCTTTCCTCTGGCTTCCTCTGTACAGATGAAGGGAGACACATCAGTGTTGGGGGGACACCCATTGTTTAAGCCCCTAATTCTTGAATTTCTATGATATGTCCTCATAAGCCAGTTTGAAAACATCAGTTTGTATCAAAAGGAAATTAAAGCATAAGAATGTCATTATTGTTCATGATAACTTTTCTATCAACATAAGGATTCCTTAGTAAAACTAAGAAAAGACTTTTTTAAATATTCAGAGGTAATATTTTTGTAGTGTTTTGTTTACTGCTGCATATGCTCTTAGGTAGATTTGAACATCTTTTAAGTGAGGAGCTGAGTTGCAGGCTCTTCAGTATCATGTGCCCTGTTTATGCCTCTACTTTTGATTGTGCTGGTTCAGAAAGTAACATTGCTGCCTTTCCTCATGATGGCTGGTTCCTCACTTTCAGAAAAATTTGAGCTTATCCAGGGATCTGATAGTGCAGCAGGCACTTAACTAGTAGAGGAATTTTTTTCTTGGACCTGCCATTTATTTGTGAACCTTTGATGCGTTACTAAATTTTTCTTTGCTTCTGTTTTCTTATTGTCCTAAGGACTTGAATGATTGTATCTACCTCAGATGGTGGTTGTGAGGTTTCAATGATTAAAAAAGTTACTGCCTGGAGTATAAAGAGCACTCAGTGCATGCTATTATTTTTAATTTTCATTTTGAAAATTAATTTTCATTTTGGTTGGTAGAGACTTAACTTACATTTAGAGTCATATTTAAATATGAAGGAGAAACAGTAAACCAATAGGTATTTACACTTTCATAGAAAGATCATCCTCAGGGATGCCTTCTAATCACTCTGGGAACTCTGTGCCTCTTGTAAGCAGTTTAAAATAGAAAAGTTTCCCTTTAAAATAAGAGAAGTCTTTAGGCCAAAAGGAAAGTTTCCTAAACAGAGATTTTATAAATCTCCTTTCGTAATTATGATTTCATGCTTTATTAAGAGTAAATGAGTCTATTTTTTAATAATATGCTTACACTTGTTTTTTTATTAAGATAGGTTTACAGTAGTTAAAGGAGTAGTAGAGTGTAGATTACTTTTCTAATTATGTTTCATGAACATCTAAAGTGAATAGGGCTACAAGAAGCCTTTATTTGGAAGCTTGTGGACAGGAAGACAGGAGCCGTGATTCTCTACTTAGGAAACAATCCAATCTTATGTAAACAGCAGAGTATTAGTTGCTTTTCTAGGGCTATCTCTGCCTGTGGGGGTTGGAGAGGTACTAACATGTTCCCTTGTCTCTATATGAGATTGATGTATATTTGTCTCTGCCTAAGACTAACTATATGGTAGTTAGTATATATATATATGTATATATATATGTATATATATACATATATATATATATATATAACACTGACCCATTCAATGTATTTTGGAAGCGGCAAAATCAAACAGGAGAAAGGAACAGATATATAACTTAATCCTTCAAAATCAACTTTACTCATCTGTATAGTGCTATCTTATAGTTTTGAGAATCTAATAAGATAAATTATAACACATACTATTCGTGCCTTGCAGATCATAGACTCTCAGCAGATGAGTTTCTTTGCTCTTCCAGAGGAGAAAAGCACAGAGATTCTATTCTCTAACACTCTCCTTTATGAAGATACTGGAAGTTTGGGGGCTTATCTTTCTAGTCCGGATACTTTTGGTTGAAGCAGACACATCCAGGTATAGGCCTTTCAGACTTTGGGAGAAAAGAGGAAGTTTTGAAGTTTCAGACACAAAGGTAGCAGATGTGGAAATTTTTGATAATGTCATCGCATGGTAAGGAGAGAGGAGTAAGGCCTAGAGTGCAAAGACAGACTCCTATGAATTGATAATTTTGTGTGGTTGGCTCTGTCTGTGGTGGCCTATACACCTACCCCGCCACCCAAGCATCAGTCCAGCCAGGTAAGGCACCAGCATTAGGCACTAAGGAAAATCTGAGATTAATGAGATCAACATCATCCTTGCTCTCAAGATTTCCAGAACCATCATCTTGAGAATTAGGAAGGGAGGAAGAATGGGAATGAAGTGAGCGTCTCCTGTCCAGGAGACCTTTGCTTTCATTGTTTTATGTGGAGATGTCACACAGCAGAAGGAATTAGTAATGTAGTTAATACACATATTTTTGATCTGTAATCTCAGCAGGGGACAGAATAAATGGTGAGTTGGAGTGATCTGAGAAAACTTTTGAAACTTCTGGTCCTTCATGATTATAAATGGGTTTGAGTTTACAAGAAAGGACATAATAAAGGGTTAGTCACACAGTTGTGTCTGGCTCTTTGTGACCCCCATGGACTATAGCCCACCAGGCTCCTCTCCATGGGATTTTCCAGGCCGGAATACTGGAGTGGGTTGATCTCCAGGGGATCTTCCCAACCAAGGGATCAAACCCACGTCTCTTATGTCTCCTGCATTGGTAGGCAGATTCTTTACCACTAGCACCACGTGTAATATAGTATTCTGAATTTTTAGTGTGCAAGAATACATTCTGATGATTAAGCAGAAAAAAATGTACATCTGACATTTTGTTCAAGTAGGATACACTGCCAAATTTATTATGAGATTCATAATCTCATATTGCAGTAATAGAAATAGTTACATATTGTGCATAATGAGTTTGGGGTGTGTCTGCCAAATTTGCACAAGATTTAATATAGATTTTTAAAATTTTGGCACCGAGTACAAGAGCCTTTATAAAATCAGAAATAAATTTGAGATGTTTGTTTACTTAGCTTTTGGAAGTTAGAAAAAAAGGCCTGAAGGTGTATAATAATGTTTCCTTGTGCTTTTTATTCATTTTTTAAATATTGTGTCATTTGGGCCCATTTTTTTCAAGGTTGGTGGGTTTTTGTGTTTGTGGCTTTTTTTTCTTTTTTTTTGCTGTTTTTCAACCTGAACTTGTCTTTGGTACTGATAGAAATTCCCTCTGAGTGTTCTCAGAACACTCTTCACAGAAAATAACAACCTTATTAAAATCGTATTTTCAGGTATAGTGGAAGAATATCAGCTCCCCTATCATGACCTGGTGCCCAGCGACCCCTCTTACGAGGACATGAGAGAGACTGTGTGTATCAAGAAGCTGCGGCCCTCCTTCCCCAACCGGTGGAGCAGCGACGAGGTGAGGCTGGAGGTCACCACGTGGCCGTGGCCAGTGTCAAAACAGACTTTTCTCCTACTGCCACAATTCCAGATATTTATTGCAGGAATGTGTCTTCTCTGTTGGGACGGTAACGGTGCATCATGGCAGCAATTTATATGGAGATGAGTACAGTATGTTACATTATCTGTTCCTTTCTCCTGTTTGATTTTGCCGCTTCCAAAATACATTGAATGGGTCAGTGTTTAGCCAACATAACTGATAACATGATTTCATTTATTGGTGATGTCCTGACACTTGCATAGAGGCTGTTACTTCTCCGAATGTGTGTGTGTAAAACATCATGAATTTTCTCTGTGACAGGCTCACATGCAGCATTCTCTCATTTAATGAGAGAAGAGGTAGGCGTCTGAAGAATTGGGTTTTCTGTGCGCAGAAGTGGCACGAGGTGACCTCGGTGAGGCGCCTGACTGTGCTGTGGATCTCCTTAATGAGGACGACGTGATGCTGTGGGAGCAAACCCACGGTCGGGCTCCGAGTGTGTCCTGGTGAAACCTGCACAGGTCTGAGAGGAGCCGCCCAGAAGGACGAAGTGAGCCGGCCAGCCTTGCCTCTCCTGCCCGCTCTGCTCCTTGCTCAGCCCTTCTCCATCCGCCCTCTGAACCTCTGGACCCCCCAGGCCTGGAGTGTCTGGCGGCCCTCGGAGAAGTGCCACATTCAGAGAGGAGTTTGAAGCATCCCTTAAAAAAAAGTATCCAAGCCAGTGCAGACAAATGGACAGAACACTGTTTATAAACTAATTCTTCAGTGTTAATTGCATTTAAAAAGAACTTTTGGTTCTTTGGTTTTGTGGCCAGTTACTGAAAGGCTAAATAATACATATGTTTCCCAGTGAGCTGTGCAGAAAGCTTTATGAGATGCTGGAGTTTATATTATTTTGAAGGTGGTTATGGGCATTGATATTGCTCAGAGTCCCTTCACTGAGGATTTCTAATGAAGCAAAATGGTGCTTTTCAACAGGAAGGCCAATAATTGACGTGCCACAGGAGAATGCAGGAGAAACTGTAGTGAGGCTGTGCACAGGTCATTAATCTTGTTAAATGGTACAGTGTGATGCTGTTATTGTAGCGGACAGCTATGATTGAGGAATAGCCATGTTTGTTTGACTAGTATGGAATTAGATAAAAGATTTAAGCTCGTCAAGTATTAGAGACAGTCCAGGAGTGTGCAGTGGAATACAGACTCCCTGGGTATTTTTGTGTTTGTTTAATCTGACTTCAAAGACACTCTTCTACAATCAGCAAAGCCACCTGCTTGCTCCTATCACAAGGAAGACATGAAAATTTGTTTTAGTCCTTTAAGATTTGCACGAGAAAGGAATTTTTATGGAATTTTATGCCTACATGGTTTTAAGACTATCTTTTAAAAAAGTACGTTCAAATTTCAGAAACCCAGAACTAAAAGCCAGGATCGAGTGCCAGCCTTACAGATTGTACATTTCTCAAGTGTAAGTCCAGTTTTCCTTTTCCTTCCTGCAGTGTCTCAGGCAGATGGGGAAACTCATGACGGAATGCTGGGCTCACAATCCTGCCTCAAGACTGACAGCCCTACGGGTTAAGAAAACACTTGCCAAAATGTCAGAGTCCCAGGACATTAAGCTCTGAGGCAAGAATAAGTGTCTCTGGACAAAGCCAATAGATATTCTTCTGTTTGTGGGCAGAGCAAAAGATGTTCCAGAAGCATCCACAGTCCAAGCCTCGAACATCCTCCTGCTCCCCAGAGGGTATATGCTTACCTCTCAGGGAGCAGCCTGGACAAACAGAAGTTTCCAGAAACACAGATTCCTCGTGTCTGTCTATAGGAGAGAAACTGCCTGGGTAATTTGTTCAAGATATGATGCATGTTGCTTTCTAAGAAAGCCCTGTATTTGGGGATTGCCTTTTTTTTTTTCCCTCAAAAGATAATTTTGCCAAAATAAAAATGTAAATGTTTCAAGGTTTATACTATTTTAGTTTAAAGAATAACAACTAAAGTTCTTCCCAGAAATTCTGCTGGAAGGTAAATTAAAATATGTGTTTCCATTGGTAAAATTTTGTTGCACTCTACCAACCAAAAGACAATCGTTGAAGCCGGAGAAGTGAATGGAGCTCATCTTAAAAGCCCCCGACGTGCCCCTGCCTCCTCAGACCACTCTGGCCAGCCCTGCGCTGGGGCAGCCGCAGCAATGTGAATGCACCTGGGTGCGGGCACCGCCTGGGTGGGACCACCTCTGGGGATTCCCGCTCGTGACCTTCTGCAGCTTCAGAGGATGTGGGACAAATGAAGGTTTTATGTGACTCTACTAGAAGTAAATGTTAACACTGTTCTTCAGAAACCACTTTTTATTTCTGATTCTGTTAGGTTTTTTCTTTCATTAAACACAAACAAAGCTTTTTTTGTGTGTGTAGGAAGTTGAACCCCTGCCTGCTTTTGATCTCTCAAATGAAAGGATCAATATTAGGTAGAGTGGCTGTCAGTTGTGTCGAAGACAAGGCGCTTTAAAATAGAGCTAATTTGCTCTTGTGCTGTAAGAAGATGGTGTCGAGAAGGCAGGCGGTGAGGGCAGAGGTGCACAGGGCTTGTGTCTTAGGTATGCGGAAGAGGCCTCGGGCGCACGGGGGGCAAGGTGTGCACCACTCACTGTGTGCAAAGATGGTTTCTTTTAGTGATCATCTGCCTTTTCTCTGTCTGAGTTGAGAGGAGAGGAAACTTATGTCAGGTTAAGTGAACTCATTTTAATTTTAAATTAGATAAATGTAACCTCCAAATAGAACAGAGGAATGCTAGAGGAGACCACCAGATATTATGGCTGTCGTGACTTATTCTAGAATAGATACAGACGGAGGATGTAAGTCTTAGGTGATAGCGTCACATCTTAGGAGTGCTGACTCAGATTATTTTATCTTCATGACGTTCAACTCACTTTTTAATTTATTATTGTTTTCTTCTCCGTGGCACTTGTGCGAACATCTCTCCACCTATTCAGTTATGTAGGCATAAAAACTTTTGAGCAGCAGGAGTCAAATCCTTGACAGGGCCAGTATCCCTTAGCAACAGGAGCATAATAAAGGGTACAATCATACACAGCCCTCTAAACCTTATTCGTTTGTTTCCTGACTGTGGTTTTCTTTTGCTTCTTAGAGTTCTGTAGTGTTTAGCAAAGAATTGGGAAGCCCCTCCGCTTTGCCCTTAAAAAAAAAAAACAACACAGCAATTCTGTTCTTTCCAGAATACTCCAGGGGGCAGTGTTTTATAAGACATTTTCATTTCCCCACTTGGTGGCTGAAGGATGGAGGGTTTTTGGAAATGTGAGAGCTGCACGAAAAATGAGAAAATATTTTCCTCACTTCTGACGTGAGCTTGCAGCTGGTGACTGGTTCCTCCAGAAAGCATCCGAAGGCAGAGAAGGCAGAGACCGACTGTGAGCTGTGCTTGCCTTCTGGGAGAAGCAGTGTTCTGTATGCAGCATTCACTCCCCAGCGCTTCAGAAACACAACTCCTTTGTGACAGTATTTTCTTAATCCTTGAATTTGAAAAAAAAGTTTCAGCTTTTTCAAAGATTAAAAACAGTTGGTTCCAAACATAATTATGATTAGAATGCTGCTTTTACTGATATTAAGATAATCTGAACAAGAGTGTAAATGTTTCTTTTTCTTATGTCAAATGCTCTTTGTGATTGCTTAGAAGGAGTTTGTGGCTAAAGCTAAGTGTGATAATCGTCTGAGCCTAGGAGAGGAACTTCAGTGCATCTAATCAGATCATCTGCAAACAAATAAGTAAACGTTTACGTCTGTTAAGTGGGGACATGTTTGTGTCTCTTGATTTTCCCTAAATTTAGGTGATGTTTGGGCTTAGCGCTCAGGTAACAATGTGGTTTTGTTTTTAATAAGTTCTTACACATGGATAACTTCAAATCAGAATATACTGAGGAGAGGTGATGATTTGAAGGTAAACAGATTTCTAGGGAGGTGTTGGTTCCTGTGAAAAATGGGAAGAAATTAAGACAGTGTCCAAATTTCTTTCATATAATTTGTTTGGTTGCTTTGGAAAAATGGATAGCTTACTTTCTAATTCCCAATCTGGTATACTCACTATGGACATTTAAAAATTATTCCTGGTATACTTAAAAAGACACATTAGTTATTGTTGTGTTTTAATGATATAAGAATTTATTTATGAATAGATTTTTTTTTTTGTCTTACCAAAATCCACCTCACTTAGGAAATATTAAATTGTTCTTAAAGAGACTACCTACTCACTTCCAAATTATTAATTTTGATTTTTAAATTTCTGGTAGCTCAGAAGTGAATTTTATTTTTTTGTTTTGTATCAATAGAATAGTGGGGACCTGGAAATAATGTAGATGATTGCTTACTTTCAGGATGATTTCAAAGACTAAAATTTTCTTCTAACGTTTCCCTGCAAAGGAATCCTAAAATATTACTTGTTAGCTAATATAAGTTTTGTATGCTAAGATATTTGGGTTTATAGTTTATGTATGTGTGTATATTATATAAATATATGTATATATAAATATTATGTTCAGTTTGGAGTCCGGCACAGCTCCATTATGTGGATTAGAGAGTAAAATATTATGGATGATAAAGTACTAAGTAAAACATAATATTTATTTATAAAAGGGTGTAGATTGTTACATCACAGGCAGCAGTGCTATGAACATTGCGTGTTAGGAGACAGGTCTCTGACCTCCTGAAACGCGCTGCTCAAAAGACACTAGTGACCATTCTTTTTATTCTCAGAACAAAACTTCTTATAAAATATGCTAAGATTTTATTTACAGGGAATTCTTCGACACGTTTCAATTGCTGCGTAGTCAGGTAGAGCAAGTACTGAATAATGATCGACTTTCACAGAGTCATGCATATTCATTAGAAGTGACAATTGTTTTGTGTTGTTGGTCTGTCCCTCTTTGTTGGTAGGTGGAAAGGCACTGAAAGGAGTACAGTTTTTTAAACTTGAATAATTCTATAGTTATAGCTCCTTAGAAAACTTAGTCACATAGCCGTGGAAATGAAAGAAGGCATCAGAAGTGACTTAATTTAGAACTTAGGATTCCTTTTGTAAAACAAAACAAAACAAAAAACAATGCCATATTTTTTGGAGAAAAGTTAGACTATATAAGGGATTTTGTTGTCTGTTTCAAAAGAAGACTCATTTGTGTTCTTTTGGGGAACCAGTGCCTTACTGAATTTGTATATACTGTAATTATTCTGAACTAGGGAACAAACAATTGTATTTGTTACAAATTGTATATGGCTTTGTTTTAACATTCCCCCTAATAAAATGGTTTCATTCTCCCCTTGGAAAGAACGTGTCTGTTGTCTTATATAGTTGTGCCTTTTTTCTGTCTCTCAAAATGTCACATTGTAACAGGCAGGAGAGGCAGCCATGAACAGCGATGCAGGTGAGTGTGTGCCCTGGGGCGGGAGAGCAGGACGAGAGGTCTGATGGCTTGGATGTTGTCTGTAATTAGGAGGCATATTCATCTGTTGAGAGTGAGAGGAAAGGCGGGAACGTTGGTGACAGGTCCCAGGCAGATGCTTACAGGCAGTGCCGAGGCCCCGTCGAGCTGGAGAAGGCTGACTGTGGCTGGTGACCAGGGTGTGGCTTTGGGCCACCAGACAACCGGCGTGTGAACCTGGGCCCCCGCATTCTCCCCGCGCTGTCAGGGCAGGCCTGTTTTGACCTCTTGAAGACTCAGCTTCTTCCCCTTGAAGACAAGAATATTAATCTCTACTGCATGGAGTGGTTCTGAAGATGAAATAATCCGTGCCATGCCCCAAGCATTAGGTGAAGCACTCGACTATTACTAAATATTAGCTATTACTACAAATTCCCTGTGCTGCTGTTCTATGTATTAACAGTTTTATGGTTTTATTTTTTTCTATCAGGAACCGAGATGTAGGCCCGAAGACTGCGACAGCTGGTTTCATTTCAGGTGGGAGTTACCAGGCATATGCAGCAAGAGGCCCTGGAAAATAAGATTTATCATCAAGGGGACAGCTGACATGGTCCGGAGGGGGGAGGGGGTTAAAGAAGAGGCAGGTGATAGGTCCAGAGAAACTAGGTCAGAGGGCAGGGAACTAGGCTGGGGTCGAGGTGGTCTGTTTGCAGTTATTGAGAAAGAGGCTGTGTTCAGAATCAAGGTTTCAAAGAGTGAGTCACAAGACCAAGGACAGGCTGAAGGTGTGTTCACAGGGGTGGATGGATTTATTCACGGACAAGATGATAGGTGATGACACATGCATGCCAAAGCCAGGTCGTTGGATCTGTCTTTGTGGATTTTGAAGCCCTCAAAATGGTGGTCTAATGACATGAAGATTGTGAGGCAAGATTCACCAGAGCCACTGGGGGATGGGGGCAGAGGCTGGTGAGGCTGACGGCCTGATGTACAACAGAGTGGGCACCAGGGTAGCGACCCGGAAGCAGCGCCCCAACGGTAGGAGAGAGACTCCATCCTTCCTCCCGACTGTGAAGTCCATGGGGCGTGGAGCAAACAGGTTGTTGCTGTTGTTTCTGAATCAGTGTCTCACAGAGTGGAGACAGCTGTCTGCAAAGGGAGAAGGAACACGTTCGGGTGTCTGTCCATGGACTGGGAATCCTG